ATAAATGACCATACAATCCAAACTTAACTTTAATCCTCCAGTTTAGAAGTATTTAAAAGGGTATCTTAGTTAAAATAAGTGTGTATAAAAGGCGAGGACATAGTTGATAGGTGCTACAAACTTGTAGGTATTGAGTGGAAGGGACATGCTTTAGTATTTTAATTCAAAGACCATGGCCCAAGTCTCAGACATTAAAAGTGGGTATGACTCATTGAAAGATGTCTCACATTTGTAATGATACATTATTTTTGGTTGTCTTGATAAAATCCCCATTTATTTTATTATTATTCTCCTAACAATATTTATCAAAGTTTTAAAAAACATATCAGTGACCCGGATCATCCATCCATAAAAACTGGGTCGATATGTCATTATAATATAATAAAACCACACTTCTAGAAAACTATGTTTGTGGTATTTGTAGGACCCCAAATGATGCACACAATGTCTTCATCCCAATAATCAATATAAAGAAAAAAGAAATTGCACCCTAAATATGTTGGTCGACCAGATTTTTCCTCAAACTGACGGCGGGATAAAATCCTCTCTCAAACAACTGTGGAGGTTCTACGTACACTGCACGTTTGTTGGTGTGCGCACGCGTGCTCTTCTTTGTGCGGATAGGAACCAACGATGAGAAATTTTTTAGGACAGGGGTGTGTTTAAGCACCTACCTTGTCGTTTAGGGGTTCGGGGACATGCCCAGGCGGTTCACCCTCTTAAAGCAATTACAAAGCAATGCGGTTGTCTGCCAACGCGGTTTGGACACGAACTCTCCTCAAGCTTTAACATGTCTCCTTGTTCTCTTATGCTGGAAACTGCAATATGAATTCGATAATATTCCTTTATAACGGTTAACTCAAACGGGGGCTGGCTGGCAAAAGAAATAACGAGGGGAGAAATAGTCACAAGAATCCCCCCATCCGTGCAAACTCTATGCACTCGGGCTATCAGAGCAATTAAAGAGTTAGAACCTTGTCGACTGTCAACTCAGGAAGAATCCACCCGAGTGAGTGAGGGAGAGAATATATATATTTCTTGTGGCTCAACTCGACTGTATGGAGAGGAAGTTAGAGTGATGATCCAAAGTTGGAACTCTTGGGATGACTTTGAAGGGTACTGATTTGAGCGTATGACGGATAGCAGGATGCTATGCGTTTACGCTCAAAGCACTGAGGGGAAGATCGTAAAGAGGGACAGGACTGTGAGTTTCGTGGCTCCGACACCCACAATACGACGAGACTGAGAGAAAGAGGGGGAAAGAGACGAGACCGCGTGTTTGTCAGCAACGAGTAGAGAGAGAGAGAGTGAACTTGAGGTGTGGCCTAGCCTAAGAGAGTGAGAGAGAAAATGGGATCATGAGATCAGGCTGGGCTAGGGGTAGTTTCTCTCTCTGAAAGTTTTCTCTCTCCACGCCACTGGATCCAAAGGTTAGAAGCAAAAGACAAGTGGACACAAGCTTAATGCTTCTATTTCGTTAATGAATGATCCAACCCTTTTACAATTGACCTAAGCTTGTTTTTATAGAGGACCCACCAAACAGGGGTAGATGCTCAAAACTAAGCCTAATAATGATTAAAAGGAATTACAATAAAATCCTAAATTTAGGAATAATGACCAAAATGCCTTTTAAAACCTTTTGTGCTAATGACAAAACCATCCCTTTCTGAGGGCCTTACACCATTGCCAGATCTTAGGAGCTTTTTCTGATGTTTGTGACGGTGGTTCAAACGATCCATCATCATAGTCTTGATGCTTATTTGATTCTGAAGAGTTTGATGTCTTTTGATCGTCTTTGACGCGAACTTTTCCAGAGGGGTAAAAATCCGGCTATGTTGAACCATCCCTTTCTGAGGGCCTTACACCATTGCCAGATCTTAGGAGCTTTTTCTGATGTTTGTGATGGTGGTTCAAACGATCCATCATCATAGTCTTGATGCTTATTTGATTTTGAAGAGTTTGATGTCTTTTGATCGTCTTTGACGCGAACTTTTCCAGAGGGGTAAAAATCCGGCTATGTTGTGAAGTAACGCCATCAATGTAGTGTGATCCATGATGCTTCAAGTCTTTTTTTTATAGCAAATTAAAGAGGAGACAGTCACAATTGCTTTGAACTAAATTTTGTCTGATTTGGTTCTTGCTTTAAGTATTTTCTGAATTTGGGAGATCGTCAGAAAAGGGATTCCGGTGATCGGGAAATCTTGCCTTCTTCAACCTTGGAAGTTGCGCTATCCGACCTTAAATTATGTGCAAAAGTTATACCAGCTTGTAGCTCTTCGTGATACGATCGCATCGGACCCGACTTTACGATGATCCGATGTATAGATCTTAAGTTATCGCTTCATGAAGTTCGAGATGTCTTTTATGTAAAACTCTAATTTTTATGGTTTCGGGCTCATCTTCTCTTTAGAAAAGCTTGGGTTTTGGGTCACGTCATGGCATGTGTCATATGTCAAAATGACCGGGTCGTCGAAACCTTGCTTGTTTCGATTCCAAACGAGTGACTTGTGGGCGCGTGCAAATCATCCCAAGATGTGAAAATACAGCCTCCATGAATGGAAACTAGTTTGGTGAGGCTGCACCGCAATAGTGTCAAACCTACCCGTTTGTGTTAATTTGGGTCCAGAATGTTCCTAAGAGGTTTGATTGAGCCTAAATTTGGTCCCTGTGCATTTTTCGACATTCTGGATGCAATGGTAGTGGTTTGGTATTATTTTGAAGACCTTAGCATAGAATTATAGTTGTTAGGTCTCTTTTCGGCATGATAGGAACTGGTCTTTGATAACCGAATTTCGTCTTGATAGGGTCAAAACTTATCTGAATGTGGCGAAACTTTGTGAGTGTCCTTCAGGTATTCCAAACTACTTTTTTTCATGCCTTTCAAAGCCGTTCTAGTATATTTTCCAAAGTTGTCCAATTTTAGGCTTATTTTACAGTGTTCCCTTGGTCTGCGATGTCTTGGATATCAACAGGATCAGGTTATTACTGGCTCTCTTCTTATTTGTACCAAGGATGTAAGTACGTCAACAATGATATATAACAATGGTCAAAGTGAGTACCCACCAGCCCGATCAAATTTTTTTTTTTTTTATTGTTCATTAGAATAAAAAAAGTTTATATTTAAAAATGGGAAAAGTTTATATACAGTCGAAGCTTAAAACTCACAATAAGAGCTTCACCCTAATCCACCGTCCAATAAAATAGACGGTGGAGATATTGGACTCGATTTTAAATGTGAAACTGGTAAACCTAAACAACCCGTTCCCCTTTCTTGGTCCTCTCATTTTCATTTCCCTACAAATTCTCTCTATGCCCGCCTCTCTCTATCTCTCTCTCTATAGCAACGAGCACAACCCTCCTCAAAAGCTTTCTCCTTCCTCATAACCCCTCGATTTCCCCTCTCTCTCCATTTGCACTCTCTACATTAACAGTTCCCAGGGTTCGTTTCTTCCTCACTCTAGTCTGCGCAATAATCTCTTAGGGCCCATGATTTATGGTTGGATTATGAACTTGGCTGCCTACCCCTTCTTACCCATCACATTCATGGAGAGCAAATGAAACGGTTAGTCCACTTTTTCCAATCCTGGGCTGGATGTGGAAGTACAACCATTCTTTTTCTCCCGAGAGTGGTAAGTTTCTTCTCTCTCTCTAAACTTTTGGGGATTTTCTCTCTCTAAACTTTTCAGTCTATGGTTTTAGGTCTTGAATTAAGGTCTGGATTTCGAAATACAACCATTGTTTTGGGTTTGAATGGATGAATTAGAGTGGATCTTTCTCTCTCTAGTGAATTTTGAATGGATGAATTGGAATTTTTATTCTTCATCATCAATAGTAGGGGTTGGATTTTGAAGTACAACCATTCTTTCTCTCAAGAGGGTGGTAAGTTTTATCTTTCTCTCTCTAGGATTTTTGGGCTTTTTCTCTCTCTAAACTTTTCACTCATGGCTTTAGGCCTTCATTTAAGGTCACCTTAAAACCATGGCAGAAAGAATTGCTCATAGATAGCATTATCAAAAAAATGGCATGCTCTAAGGTTTTCTTATGATTTTTGGTTAAGTACCTCAATCGACCTGCAATTTACCTTCTTATAGAATTGCATTTTATGGATATAATTTTAGCCTATGAATGGATTAACTTGCATTTTCAATACAATAAGATAATTTGAATGTTAAATGCTTGACAAGTTTCTTAGATCTAGCTTTTATAGTTGCTTAATTTAGGCATTTCAGTTTTCAATTGTTATTTTTTTTATCTTATCTTCATGAAGGAATGTTGATGTAAATTATCTTTGAAGTTTAAACTGGATAGTGTAGCTTTTTACTCTCTTTTTTCTGATTGATTTGAATGCATGTTTCCTTTTTCTTTGGTGGAGTTATAATAGGATAAAGCCTGCTTCCTTGATGCATATTTTGCTAAGAATTTACTGAAATAGTCATGCCAGATTTTCAAAAAGCATACTGATTTTTTTATTGTGACTAGTTTATGAAAAACTGTATAGCTATTGGAGTCAGAGCAGCTATAATTATTATGTGACATAATTATGATATTTCATATGTTCAATCTTTATAGCTTTGATGAAATTGTGTCCTATGAAGATAATAATCTCAATAATATTAGTACTGTTGAAGAGAAATGATGTTGTTAAAGAGTAAAAATAGTGACAATATTGATAGTCATAATAATAAAAGGGTGCGGTTTGTATAGAACCTAGGCTCCAAACAATCAAATTAGAGTCTACCTTCAAATGGTGTAGAGAAATGTGGTTTTACTACTGGAAATCTTTGTGATAGCCTTAAAATATATTTTTATATTTATTTATAATGTTTAAAACTTCAAAAATAGTGTAGATCGACAGATCTATGAAAATCTTGAAAATTGACGGTCAAAAAATGCATTACAAAGTACACTATTTCCAAAACTTGAAATCCATTTTTTTCTCATGTCCATGCATCTTGATGTTGAGATGATCAATTTGAAGATATTTGGGCATCAAAACAACCTCTTCTAGTGAAATTTTTGAGGTAGGTTCAAATTTGATTGTTTAGAGCCTTGGCTCTATATAAACTTTTCCCATAATAAAAAGCATTTAATGCTAGCTCTAGAGTATTTTGAATTATTATATAATTAAATGTTAATTGATGGATATTATAACTAAATTATCTTTTCATGTTTATGGGTTTGTAAAATACAATAAATGCAAACTTGAAGATGATGATTAACAATTGACATGGAGATGGGGAGTAATTCAGATGGTAATGGGATGGAGGTAAATAAGAAGGTAGGAAGTCCTCTTGCTGAGGAGTATGGAATGGAGGATACTATCTTTGTGGATGGTGATGATTTCTATAATCACCATGAATTAGAGAATGTTATTTACATAGATGGTGATGATAGAAGTGACTCTGATGCAAGCCAAAATACCAGTGAGACTCTCATGGTGGAACCTCTAACCATGGAAATTAGTGCAGAGGACCCATAAGAGGGTATGCAATTTGAGTCCCTTGAAGCTGCATTAGATTTCTTTTATAAATATGTACAAAAAATTGGTTTTAGCAGTCAATGTTATGCAGCTCGTCAATCAAGGAAAGATGGATCACTCATCACTCGTGAATTTGTATGTTCAAAACAAGGTGAGTGGCACAAGAACTCTGAGGCAAAGTAGTCTCAGCCTTATATAAGGATAGGGTGCCAAGCCATGCTAAGAATCAAGAAAGATGAACATGGTATATAGTTCGGTCACATCGCAAAATTCCAAAGTACACAAGAGAGATGATTCATATGTATAACTCATGTGGGTTAATTGCCCCAAAGATCACAAAAGTGTTTAGTACACAGGCTGGAGATCGAAGGAGTCTCCCTTTTGTAGAGCCAGATTGTAAGAATGAGATATATAAAAATCGAAAGAAAAAGTCAAAGTTGATAGGAGGGGATGCAGAGGGGTTGATGGAGTTCTTTGCTAGTAAGTTTGTTGCGAACCCATCTTTTGCATACAAAATGCAAGTTGATGCAGATGGGCACTTAACCAATGTATTATGGGTTGATGCGAATTCCAAGATTGATTGAGAATTCTTTGGAGACGTCATTATATTTGACACTACATACAAAACTAATGTATATGAGATTCCATGTGCCCCAATTTTGGGAGTAAATCACCACACAAAGACTATATTCTTAGGATGTGCTTTACTCCATAGAGAGGATGAGGAGTCTTTTACATGGTTGTTCACAAAGTGGCTTGAACTGATGAATGGGCGCCAACCAAAGTCAGTCATCACATATCAAGACAAGGGGCACTTGAAATAAAAAAGGTGTTCCCAAAGTTCTGACATCGGTTATGTAGATGGCATATAACTCAAAAGATTGAGCTAAAAATGGCACAAGTTGCACATAATCATCCATCATTCCATGGGGGACTTATACAAATGTATTGACCATTTTACCACCACCACAGAATTTGAAGATGAATGGCCAAGAATGTTAGAAAGATATGATTTAATGAATAATGAATGCTTAAAGTCTTTATATGAAATTCGGCATCAATGGGTAGATGTATATTTGCAAGATTGCTTCTTTGCAAGCAATAGGACTAGTGGAAGAAGTGAAGCCATGAATAAGGATATCAAGGCATATGTGAATTCCCATACTAATTTGACTACATTCGTTGGACAATTACAAGAATTAATTGAAAAAAGTTTGATGAAGAAAATACTGCAGACTTCAAATCTCACAATGAGACACCAATTATGATGACTTCCACTCGTATGGAGCAAAAGGCTCAAATTTACACCCCGTCTGTCTTTCAAAACTTCTTTCAGCCAGAGTTAATGACGGTCGCTAATCTTATTTTTGATGTGCAAGTGGCTGATGGGGTTGTATGCACTTTACGTTTGAAAGGATATGGGACATGTCGCCCATCCTACATAGTGGAATTCACCACAATTGAGGAGAAAGCAACATGTAGCTGCCATCTATATGAGCACATAGCCAGATGCTTATGGTATTTGTTTTTAAAAATATACTTGAGTTACCCGAACACCATATAATGAAGTGATGGACTAAAGATGAGACAAAAGGGGTTGCTTGTGATGTTTATAAAGTTCAAGTACATGCCAGTTGTGAGGATACCTATTCTACGCGCTACAATGACCTATTTCAAAGGCGCAACATTCTGTCAACTATTGGGGCAGTGAGTCTGAGTGTGTAGGAGTATACAAAGATGCTTATAGATGAGGCACACAAAAAGGTTCTTGCTAGGGTAGATATGGAAAAAATATCTTTAAAGCATGCTTCTTCTACCTATGGTAGCCGCACATCCACAGGAATCCCCACTCTATGTGTTGCTCCCATTCTCTTTGTGACTTCAAATCCACATGTGACGACTATAAAGGCTCTAATTTGTGTAAAGCCGAAGGGACGGCCACCTATTCATGTGAGACTCAAACCTGGGAAGGAGCAGAGAATGAGTAAGACAAAGTACTCTAACTATGGACTCATAGGTCATGACAAGCGTAATTGTCCCTCTATGCATTGCAAATGGTATGTTCATACATCTTTCTTACTTGTGAGCACTTTGCTACTTAGATGTCATTATTGAATATTGTTTAGTATTGAAGCGTAGTATATGGAAAATTGTTACATGAAAATTTCTTGTTCAAATGCTCTGATATTACTAGGTTGTCATTTCATGTATATTTTGGTACAGGAGGGCCAGTATTGAGGGCACAAGTAACCCTCCAAGGGAGCACAAGTAATTCCCAAGAGCATAATTGACACTATGGAACCTTTTTACAGTTTTTTGAGCTTATGGTTCCTTGTATCCTTTTTGTATCTATTGTTCAGTTAGTTTTTTTGTATCTATTGTTCAGTTACCGTACCTTTTTGGTTGGGGAATTTTGCACAGAGCACTCAGGCTGTGGGCTGCCTGTTTTTTATGTACTTTGTATACCTTTTGTTTATACATATGTTAACAATTTAAAAAAAAAAAAAGGCTGCATATCTTTTTTGCGAATAGAGTTTTGGATGCTAATTATATCTCTTCGGGGTATATAACTACATAGCTTCTTTGTGTAAATTTAAAGATGATTTGAATGTGGTAAAGAATGTGCTATCATTTTGATTCTTGCAAGTATTGGTTGTAGGATTTTTATGCTCATTGAATTTGAGATGATCTATTTCAATAGGTGTTTCATGTGTGATTTGGACTATGTTTGGTTGAGTTGCAGGTAATAAATAATATGCTTGGTTAACTATGGGTCTTTTTTGATTTTGACCAAATGCCACTACTTTAGTTCATAATGTGTATACGTTGATCTTAGTGTTTGCACACTTTCCATGAACATAAATAGGATGTTAGTAACATGTGTTGCAAGTCATATGAGCTATATGCAACCTTATGGTGGAAGTCTATGCTATCTCATGTCTGGTTTATTGATGTGTAACTGTTCGAAAAAACTTTCTCTTCTTTATCATACCTTGTACAAACTCACTTATATAAATAGATCAAGTATGTAAATTGAATAAATGTTGTGTGAGAGTTAGATTCTCTTTCAAATTCAACATAGTTTTCGTCATTGATAGACTTGACATTTTATACTTGGCTTCTATGTCATTGGTCAATGCAGCCCCTAGCTTGTTCTAGGTTTAGTCAGTCAATTATGCAACAAATTGCCATGCAATTAGCTCTTCATATTTTTGTGGCATCAGTGAACACACTATTAACAGTGTTTATATACTGCTGGCAGTGCGTACACACTTTTAATAGTGTGCATATGTTGATTTCAATGCTTATATGTTGTTCATAATGTGTGTATGATGTGAACGATATGCAATGTGCCTTATTTTGATTAATAGCTTGACTTGTAGACTCTATTTAGAGTTTGTGTTGTTAACTAGAATATATATTGACTAATATAAGTCTTGAATGAGTTGCAGGTCATTCATACTACGCTTGGTTATTACAACATTTGGTCTTGTTGGATTATGGCGTCAAGGTGAGATCTAGGATGTTCAAGAGCTATTGCTTGTATTTGGAGGAGGAGATTGGGCTTAAATGTCGAGCGGCATAGATTGGCCTATAGAAAGTACAACAACTAAGACAACATGACTTTGGAGCAGCATAGATTGGCCTTAAATATTGTGGCATCGCAATTGTTTGATATTCTTTGTGTCAAAAAGTTTGGCAACTAATTTGAGAGTCTAAACTTTATTAATATGGGAATGTAATACCCTTTTCGTGATGACAAGTGCTTGTTAAAGACTATGCTATCAATTGATAGTTATGTAAATTTAAAGATGATTTCAATTTGTTAAAGAATGTGATGTCATTTTAATTGATGCACGTATTAGTTCTAGGATTTTTATGTTCATTGAATTTGAGTTGCGCTCATTGTTGTGATGTTGAGATGCTTGAACAATCGTTAGTAATTGCTTATTTTCCTTGATCGAGTATATGTTTCAGCAGCGGTTTAATGTTTGATTTGAGTAAATGGCTTGAAATAACAGTATACATATAGCAAGGCAAGTTATGCCGGCAAAATCTTAACCATCTTGCTGGTCAATTGGTTGGATGATGGGGATTTGTTTTGTTCAAATTTGCGATGATAATTAGCAAGTAGAGAGAGAGAATCTTAGCTCTAGAAGTTCCTAACCCTCAAGAGAGGGAAAGAGAGATAATCTTACCTCTACAAGTTCTAAATCTGTGTGTGTGAGAGAGATGGTGGGGCTCTTCAACCAAAAGTCTCCATGTTGTAAACGTCTTTAAACATTTTCTAACTTGCACGAGAGAGATGGTGGGGGTTTCCATGTAAATGTCTTTTTAACATTTTCTAACTTGCATGAACCTTTTGTTCTTTATATAGACCTAAAACCCATAATTCATCTTTAATTTCCACTATTGAGTCTAGCTAGCAAAGCTTATTTGTTTCAATCTAGTGAAAGAAAGAGGTATTTATTCTCTCGTCTTCCTTATGAAGCTTCTTGTTAGTGCTGAAGAATAAGCCTATCATGTTTCCATTTCCCGTATACTCAGACAAATTAAGGGAAAAATAATATTTGAATTGCAAAAATTTGTTGCTCCTTTGGAAGCTTGTTAATAGAACAAATAAAGTGCATCCTGGAAAATATTAAATCAAAATAGTCATATCATATGTTTGACTCAAATACCAAAAATATGAAGAGAGAGAGAGAGAGAGAGAGAAATTCAATATCAATTCGTACATCGCCCACAGTATAGGTAACATCGACAAAAACCTATTTGAATTAGCACTAACAAGAAAAAAATCCACTTAGAACTCAATCAACCTGCCCGCACTAGCAATAACAAATATAGAAAACAAGACACAAATATTTCATATGTTTTGTACAAAATTACAATCAAGCTCTATGAAGTCATTCCTAAATTTTTGGTATTAAGAGCTTTGCCAATTGCATAATGCACTCCAAAAAATCTCTTTGGTCACCCGAGTAGGGAATCGGAGGCCCCAGCCAAAAATAATGTACTTAGATAGGATGGTTACACATTTGAGTTATGCATCTCCACACCCAAATACTTCCGACCACTTTTAATGGTCATGTGCTCTTATTGGATTGCATACATGAGAAATATTGAGTAATTTCTAACAGACTTTGCTTTCAAAACGTTTCTTTTCATTTAAACAAAGTAAGGAAAATAAGAACGTTTGATTATATCCATGTGGCGCTTGTTATATAGAATAATTCAACCAAAGACTTACCACAAGTTATTTTGTGCTGCTCATTGGCAAAGACGGTAACAAGCTCCCCCTATCAACATTAATAAAACTTTTCTTCTAGGGAAAATATCTTCTTATCCCCTATTTTTTACTTCTATACCTTAGATTGAAAATATTACTTGTAAGCTAAAAGCCTCCATCTTTTCTATCTTACAACCCCCTGGACCCCTTTGACCATGAAGTTTTTACTCAACGAAACACTAAAATGACACCCTCTCCAAATGTTTTTCTTTTCCACTAACATTCTCTCTCAAATCATTATCTCTCTCTACTCCATATCTCTCTATACCCAAAGTGCAGATAAATTCTCCTCTCTACATCGTCTCTCTAAAATTATCTCCCCTTTCCACATCGACTCTCCTTGCAAAGACATCAAAGTAGGAGACTGGCCATACTGTTTGGTATAACTTTATTTGAAGAGAGGGAAATTTTTAGGAGGTGAGAGAAACGATGTAAAGAGGGAACTTCTTTGTAAATTCGGATTTTAGAGAGAGATGGAGTTGAGAGAGACGGTGATTTGAGAGAGAGAAAACATTAATGGAAAAGAAAAAAATTGGAGAGGGTGTCATTTTAGCGTTTCTTTGAGTTAAAAATTCATGGTCAAAAGGGTCCAGGGGTTTGTAAGATAGAAAAGATGATGACCTTTGCTTGCAAGTAATATTTTTAATTCTTGAGTCTCATGAGATATAGAAGTTAAAAATAGAGGATAAAGAGATAGTTTCCCTTTCTTCTATCATAATCGAAATTTAATCAAACACTTTGGATTTCCATACTATGAATTACCATCAAATTACTTTAACTAATGAAAAACATTTCTTTTCCTGTCATCCATTGGAGCACATTGAATAGCAAGATGTGCATCAACATCATTAGTTGTGACCAGATATATATGTTGATCTGCCCCTGATAAATCAACAAAGAGAAGTTCAAGAGATCATGGAGAATCATAATTAATTGTATCAGTGGATACATGAGCGCCAGCTCAAAATAAAAGATCAGGAGTCAGGTTAGAATGCAGTACCAGTAATGTATGTCCCATCTTGGAAATGGCGTACCCACTGCAAATGAAAACTAAATGCAACATTTTTAAATGATTTTCTATGAGAGTACTTCTTGATAACAGTGAAAAACCACAAAGAATACACGAATACAAGTACTACACATACTTGAAAAATACAAACAGTTGTGCCATTAATGGAGAATCCACGTACTTGAATCCCCCGTCCTGGGAATGCATCACCTGCAATTTGAAGTCCACGTATCCCCGGTAAAGCATCATCGTCTGCTGCTGTATGCCACCGCAACTTCAATGAGCACTCAAGCTGTGAACTGCTTTATTAAAGTGCTTCCAATTCAGCACAATAGAAAGAGATGGAGGATTATGCAATCCACTATCTTGTACCAAAAAATGGAAGAAACTTGAGAATGAGAAAGAGCACCCAATTATAGGAAGAAACCATAGAAATTTTGCGAGTGAAAGAAAAACACCAGCCCAACAATACATCACTCTCGTTTTTTTGAGAGTATTCTGACATTTGACAATCATATGACCCACATACTTTTAGGAAATTCAAGCATTTCTGATCCAAAGAAGTATAACTTTTAATGGCATCCACTAACCAATCATAGTATAACTCACATTGGTTCAGCTACAATAGTCACAGGAAAATTATATCACCATAAAACTCACATTGGTTCAGCTACAATAGTTACAAGAAAATTGTAGCCTAATACAAGAAGGCCCAACCTCCGAAAGTAAAACTCAAATTGAATCAGCTGCAGCAATAATAGAAAACCAAGGGAATAAAGGGATACTAACAACCCAAATCAACTAACCCACAAAATAAACAGCCATTAATCATGGCATCAACATATTCACCCCACTCCAATTCATTCAACCACTTATAAATCAGAACAATTCATATGACCCACCATAAAAGGATCCTATCTCACAAGGACTAATAGTTCAAATTAATTGGTATGCAACAACAATTGGAAAGACAACAGAGGAATATGTCACCTCAAATTCATGAATGCACTCATGAATTACATCAATTCTATGAAACCCAACACAAAAAGATCCTATCCAACAAACAATTATCTCAATTTGAATCAGCTACAACAAATCATTAAAAATTGACAAAAAAATTAAGAAAAGAAAATAAAACCCTAACTCATCCATTCCCAATGAATAGTCACAAGAACCACACTTCATTAAGCCCCAAATAAATAATTACAAGTCATAACCCCAATACAAGAACACCGACCTCAATAATCATTAAACTCTCATTTCATTTGATTCCCATAATCATGAAAAAAAGTTGACCAATTATAAATCCCATTAAAAAAGTACCAAAGAAGAAAGAATAAAAGGTCAAAGAGAAAAATAAAAGAATAATAAAGGGAAAAAGAAGAGAAAAGGGAACCAGTTAGCGTGAGCTTAGCTTTCGCTGCCCATCTTCCGTTTATGCAGTACTCCAGAAGGTGGCTCTCTCCAGTGGAGAATAGAGGCAGAGGTAAAAACCCAGAAGTTTAGAGAGAGAGAGGGTTGAAAGAGAGAAGATTGAGGGAGGAGTATTAGGAATAGCATGAGAAAAGAGAGAAGGTTGAGAGAGGGTAGAGAGAGAAGATTGAGGGAAGAAGGTTGGAAGAGGGTAGAGAGAGAAGATTGAGGGAAGGGAGAGAAAAAAGTGCGACAGGTTGTATTTTTTTTTGTCAACTTTTTCAAGATGCGATGGTAACCGGGGACGCCGTGGTTTTTCTTTTTAGGCGGCGTACAAAATCGCTGCCATCCGAGTTAATGAACGGTGAAAGTAGATGTACCTCAACTAGAATATTTACAGTTGTGGCTCTATGGAAACAGGACACAAAACCTGTAAAAATTTGAAAATTTGAGTCAAATAAATGGCTTTAGAACAGTTTTTGAAGATTGTTTCATTATATTACTATAGAATTAATCTCATGCAACGGTTCTATAGTAATGTTACGTAATGGTTCTATAGCAATATAATGAGATAATCTTCAAAAATCATTTTAATGGTATTTTTTTAGTCTAATTTTTAAATATACTCTCTTTTCATTCCAATGATTAATCACACACAAAAAAATTTAATTGAAAATACATCCTCGAAAGTACTTTTTAAACCCAAATAGTATAGGCCATCTATTTGAGTGAGATGCTTAAATCTAGATTTTAATTCCTTTCCAAATGTTTTAGATAACTCTTTTATTGTTAGATTCACAATGTTTTATATATATATATATATATGCAATTCATAAGTATATGATCTCAAGTCATTGTTAGAGGGGATTTATTTTGATCATATTTTTAAGATGCAAATTAAAATTTATTTTTTGAATATTAATTATTCAGATGAAGATAAGAAATCTGAGTTAGTCGCTTTCACTCTCGTAAGATATAAATAATTGGTGGCTTTCGAGTAATCTATATTTTATCACTTAAAAGAAGCATGCCATGTTCTTTACATCTTCCCTTATTGTTTCCAGTGCAAAGTAACCGCCACGGCAATGTAAAAATCGTATATGTTGTCTTAAGTGATGG